GCGGTCGCCAACGCCGAACCCACCGGGCGAAACACCTGGTTCTTAGACAGCTGCTGCGGTCAACACATGTGTTCTTCCGGACGCTTCGTGCAACGAGAGCGACGCCTCAACCGCGACGTCATCATCACCGTCGCCAACAACGAGAACCTGAAAACAAGCAGACAAGGGGTGGTTCAGTTACAGTCCATGGAAACTAATGTCATCCTTCAACTCAACAAGGTCTTAATCGTTGACAACTTGGGATACAATCTGCTTAGCGTCAGCCAGCTAATGGCAAAAGGAATTCACCTGGAGTGCGACTCGGACTCCAAAGAGTTTCGCCTATACCACGGGAAGGGCGGCCTCTTCATCGGTCGTGCTCTCCTGAAGTCCGGCGTCTTCGTGTTGGACTTCGTCCCCGACCGAGGTACTGCTGACAGTGATGGGATCGTGTCGTTTGCCGCTTGGACACACCCGCCGGATCTTGACCCCGACTTCAACCCCGATGGATTCTGGTACTCCAACACCATACCTGCAGCAGAAAGAACACGAGCGTTAGCAGTCATCAGACAAGAAAGACAAGTACCAGCAAGTGTTCCTTCCCAACCATCACCGGCAGTAGCAGCAGAAAGCTCCAGCCGAGTACCACCACCAGCGATCCGAGGATCGCCAACCGAAGCAGATCAACTTATGCCCATCACACGAGAAGTCTGCCGCAGTCCCGCCACGGTCGTCGCGTTCTTCTCCAACACCGACATATACCACCGCTCGCCCGGCCATCGCGCTCCCGACGACATTTGGCACCAACGTCTCGGACATCCTGCAAACAGTACAATACTGCAAACCATCCAAGCCGAAGTGTTAGAACGAAACGCTCTCCTTACAACGAGCGGCCAAGAACTTCGACGACCACGCGCACGGTGCTTTACGTGCCCCGAAGCCGATCTTCCCCACCAGCCTTTTCCATCCCATCACAACCCAAGCGCACCTGCATACGCACCGATGGAAAAAGTCTACAGTGACATTTTAAACATGCCTCGATAAGACACTGAAGCCGACTTCAACTACGTCATCACGTTTATCGACGCAGCAACAAGATACGTCTGGCACTACAACCTCAAGACGCGCGATCAAGCCTTCGACGCCTTCACAACATGGCTCCCCATCGCCGAACGAGAATCAGGAACCAAGCTCAAGAGCTTCCAGTCAGACGGTGCACTGGAATACCAGTTACAACGCTTCAGGACCTATCTGGCGGAAAGAGGAATCAGACGCCTGGTGTCTCTGCCCTACGCTCACCAGCAGCAGGGGATCGTAGAACGCATGAACCGGACCTTGCAGACGACGATGCGAAAGCTACTCCTGGGAATGAGAGTGCCCACCACACTGTGGCCAGACGCGATGACACATGCAGTCCACCTGCACAATCTGTTGTCCTCGTCATCGCTTCCCAACAACGCATCACCGCACCTGCTGTGGACACGAAAAAGGGGCAGCACAAAATTACTTCGAGTTTTCGGCTGCATGGTACAGTACAGACCCCACACAGCCCGAGCAGGACGCTTCACTCAACGAGCTCGGTGGGGACTACACCTCGGTATCGCCAAACATTTTCACGCATGGAAAATCCTCGACATACAAGACAAAACTACCGTGGCATCACGTGATGTTATCTTCTACGAGCGACTGACGCTGCAGCATTACCTGGACAACATTGCCAACACACACGACCCCACCAACGGCCTCGCGGGCCTTCGTTCCTTCGCCGACCGTGCTGCCGAGGCTGACGCAGCAGAAGAAGACGTACCTAGAGCCTCGGAAGCTGCCGGACCACTCCCCTTCTGTTCCGTACCTGTTTATTCGACGAAGACAATCCTCTCGATAGCAACAACCTCGACACCTTTTACCACTTTGCTGACCAAGGTTACGTTACACCTCACCCGGTCGACACGAATGTTTCAGAACGCATCGGCCCAAACTTCTTACCTGATCCAGAAGATGGTGACGAAGCAGCTTATTCCGGGAATGAAAATTCCCCTCGACACACACCCACGGGACTGCAGATCCTCGGCCTATGGGTCTCCGTCCAGCATCCGCCGCCGCCATCTCCGCGCGAGCCAACGACTCTGTCGCAGGCTCTGGGGGGGAACATAAGGCGAAATGGAAGGAGGCGATGGAAAAGGAACTAAAAGCTCTGCAAGAACGAAATACATGGAAGTTGGTACCTGCAACGAACATCAACGGGAAGAACGTCCTCTCGGGAAAGTGGGTGTACCGCATCAAGACCAACGCGGACGGCTCCATCGAACGATTCAAAGCTCGATGGGTCGTACGAGGCTTCGATCAACGACACGGAACCGACTACACAGAAACTTTTGCCCCAGTCTCCCGTCACACCTCCTTGCGCATCCTACTCGCCGTAGCGGCCACGAAGAAACTACCACTGCGCCAAATCGACGTCGCAAATGCTTTCCTGTACGCACCTGTGGACGCCGAGATCTTCGTCGAGCAGCCCCACGGATTCATCGACGACCCTACAAAAGTGTGCCAGCTGATAAAATCCCTTTACGGGATCAAGCAAGCCCCGCGGCTTTGGCAGCAGCACCTTCACGGTCGCCTCGTCAGAATCGGATTCCTACAACTGCCACATGACCAAGGCATGTACCGACTACAGAAGGAAAGAGAATTCATTCTAGTCATCGTCTACGTCGACGATCTGCTCTACATCGGCTCCACTACTTACATCGCCACCTGGTTCGAAGGGGAGCTGAAAAGGGACCTGACACTCACGGTGTCAGACACCGTAACCTAGTACCTGGGTCTAAACATCGTCGAAGACAACTCAGCGTTCTACCTATACGCTGGAAAGTACGCAGGCGTTGTCGCAAAGAAGTTCGGACTAACACCAACTACAGTCGCGACTCCCTACCGCTACGGAAACAACAACGACACCTCCGCAAAACTCCCCGTGAAGCAAATCCAGGAGTATCTGCAGAAGCTCAGCTGCCTACTGTTCGCAGCAGTAACCTGCCGACCTGACCTATCCTACAGCGCAAGCCAGCTGGCGACGCATCTGAAGCAACCGGAACAAGAAGATCTCGAAGAACTAAACCGGGCACTACTCTACTTCGTCTCTACGCCGACGACCGGACTCACCTACAGCAAAGTAACAACACCATCCGTACAACTATTCGGATACGTCGACGCCGATCATGCAGGAGACAGGGAAAATCGACGATCGAGAACGGGCTACATCTACTGACTAGAACCTATCGGGACTATCTCCTGGCAGTCGAGCAAGCAGGAACTAATCGCACTATCTTCGGTTGAAGCAGAATATATCGCCCTCTGTACTGCGACCAAGGAAGGACTCTACCTACGAGAGTTGCTCGAGGAAGCGAAGATCGCGACCCTGCCCGTCCTCTCACTCCTCTGCGACAACCAATCTGCGATCAAAATCGCGAACAAGGACGGCTTCGCCAACCGAACCAAACACATTGCCCTGCGGTACTTTTTCGTCAAAGATGAAATCGCGAAGGGGAGACTTCAACTCAGTTACTGCCCTACAACAGAAATGGCCGCAAACTACCTGACGAAGAAACTGGCGAAGGCGAAGTTCGATTACTGCATGCTGTTGACCGGGCAGACAAACGTCACCGGATCTGAACACGTCAGCATTCCAGAAACGAAGGGGAGTGTTGGAAATATCTCAAGGACTTCAGCGTTTTTGAAGTGTAACATCACACTCGAGGAAGATCGTAACGAGTACGCGAGTCAACGGAGGTTACACGAGGGGATGGACAAAAAACACGAAAGGACTCGAAGGGTCGCAACCGGAGGTTGCGACTGACCGTTACAACTGCAAGAATGGTAACCGAAGCGACAATCGAGTCGCTGTGCGACTCGATAAACCGCCATTCAACTGTATTCTACAACTGCTTGTTTTTCTACTTTCTATATATTGCTGTATGCTTGTTCACTTTAATCAATCACTTGTTCTCATATACTAGTACAAGGGTTCAACTACTCAACTTCCGCTGCACTATTCAAGTCTCATTCTTCAACTGGGACTTAGTCTCTGGAAAGATCCTAAGGGCCTTTCTCAGCCCAACAGCGACCAATCATGTTGCATTTTGCAAGTTCGATTCAACACCAACTGCACGTCGCATTGCGTCGCGTGTTCTGCACATGTGGCAGCACTTTGCGACAAGCACCTCGTTTGCTGATCTACTGGCTACAAAACGGCAGGATCAGGAACCAGGATCAGGAATGCTGATCTTGATCTTGGACAGTAGGAATACGCCCTAAGGCATCCTGCAAAAGCTCTAATAAACACTCCCACATTCATTTCCCATTGCCTTTGCCCTTGCCTGGTGCCTTGCCAGAGGCCCTCCCTGGGCACGTGAGCTTGTGTGAGGGCCAGTGCGCCTTCTGGCACTCTCGCCTGCAATACGCCACCCTGCTGCACCCCGCGCAGCTCCTGAGCCTCACTGCACCCCCCTCTGCCCGCCCACACCGCGGAGAGCCACACACTCGGCTGCCACCGGGCGAGGGACCACAGCGCTGCGCACCTGCAGTGCGTGCAGCACGTGCAGCAGGGGTGGGGGCAGCATGTGTGGGAGGGCGGTAGCAGGGTTGCCCCAGCAGCATCTCTCTGAGGCACGCGAGCAGGTTGACTCCCCCCGGCCACGGCATGAGATGGTCCGGCACCTCCTCCCCCTTGCCCTTGCTCTCACTGTCCGTGCTCCACCTGCCGCCGCCCCACCAGCTGCCGTTGCTGCTCATGCCGCACCAGCTGCCCCTCGCTGCGCTGCCACGTCCTCGCAGAAGCGCGGCATGGCGGCCTTGATGCTCAGGTCCGAGCTCCACTGCTTGCCCTCCGCCTTCTGCCCCCGCCCCTGACACGTGTCACTCAATCCCGTCATCACGCCCGGCCACGCCACCATCACCGCCACGCACCACGCCCGTATCTCCTCCCACACCTCCCCATCGTCCCCCTCCCCACCCGCCCCCCCTTCCCTCCTCTCATTCTCACGCGCCTTCTCTGCAGCCCGCTGGCCCGCCACGCCCTCGTCCTTGCGCACGGCATGCAGCTCGGGGATGCGCAGCACGGTGTTGGGCCACGCCATGGCCACGCTCAGCTTTGAGGCGCCTCAAAACACGGCCTTGGGCCACACCATGGCCACGCTCAGTAGCAGCGACAGCGGCACCTCGTCTGCCTGCTCCTCCAGGAGCGCCAGAGCCATGGCGCCAGGCATGTGGGGGGGGAGGCACAGGAGGAAGAACATCTGCGCCAGGTCGTTGAAGGCGGAGGAGTGCGGCGCAATCACGGCCGCCACGCGCTGCACGAGCGCATGTGCGGGGCGGAAGGCCAAGGCGGCGACGAGGGCGATGAGGGGCACGGCGGCGGTGAAGGCGGCGAAGCACGCCTTGCAGTGCGCGCACGCGAGCGGTGCCACCGTGTGGCTGAGCGCGTGCTGGAGGAAGTCCACGTCCGCCGTGCACTGCACCATGGGCAGCCCTCTGTGGCCCGCCGCCACACGCTCTGGCAGAGCGCTGCTCACCCCTCCCCGGCATCTGGTCCTGCCGCCTCGCCCCCTGCTGGGCCTGCCAGCAGCTCTCCTCGCCTCCACCACCCCCATAAGGAAGCACCGCGTGCTCGGGTCATCAGGAAGCTTCATAGCAGCTTCATTGCCCTCCGGCCACTCCTTCCACTCCCAGGAAAAGCTTCCTCCCTCCAGCGGCTGCAGGATGACGCCGAGCCTGACCAGCAGGCTCGGAAGGTCCCGAAGCGGATGGCGCATGGGCCGGACCATGCCCTGCGGGTTGCAATCGAAGCAGTGCTTTCTCGAGAAGGAATCTGAGCCGTAGATTCGGAGCCACTGGAGGAGGGCAGCAGCGCGGTACGTGATGGCAGCCACCACGAGGTGCGTGTTCACCGGCTCCCGTGCACGCTGGCACGCCGCAGCAGATGCAGCGGCAGCAGTGCCCGCACTGGGCTTGGCTGGGGCTGTACCTGGCGCTGCTGCCCCCACCCCCCCACCTGCTGCTCCACCCATCGCCCGGGCAAGCCTCCCCCTGGCCGCCTCCAGCGCTGCAGCCTCCACGGCTGTCTTTTGGGCGCTGTTGCCGTCCGTGAAGAGCGTGTGCACCTCCCGGCAGTGCTGCGGCTGCGACAGCACCGTGGCCGCCGCGAGGGCCAAGTCCGTGGCGCCCACGCCACTCACATGCATGCCCCTGGGACTGCCCTCCACCCCCGCACTGCTGCTGCTGCCACCACTCCCACCGCTGCTGCTGCCGTCACTGCAATGGGTGCACCTGAACTCCCTCCCTTCCCCCCCCCCATGCTCCAGTATCCAAGCCACGCCATGCACGCACCTCTCCCACACACGCGCCTTCAGATGCCCCCTCCACGCCCCATCCACCCCATCGCCGCCACCACCGCCGCACCCTTCCCGCCCCTGCCCCTGCCGTCCCCTGTCTCCCCCCCCTGCACCACTCCACCACCCCATCAGCCGCCCCCTGCGCCTCCCCACCTCTTCGTGCCTCCTTTCAAATTCCTCATCACGCTCTCCATGGCCCTCCCCCCCTCACTGCCCAGCATCCTGCTCACCTCTTCACCCTCCATGCGCCCATCGCCCATGCCCCCACCACCCGCCCCCGCCCCCTTCACTCCCCCCTCCCCCTGTGCGTGCGCCTTGTCCAGCCCGCCCGACAGCAGCTCCTGCATGAAGAACGCAAAGCCCTCCTGCAGCTCGGCGCGCCCCTTCACCCCCAGCACCTGCACCGCCACGGACACCAGGCACTCCCACTGCGCCTGCCTGCGCACCCGCAGCGCCGCCAGCAGGGCGGGGTACGCAACGCCGTGCGAGCCCTTGGCCATGTCGAGGTGCGTGCGCCACAGCGTCACCACGCGCGGGCTGTCGCCCGCCAGCACCAGGCACGCCGCAAAGTTGAGAGCACGGCAGTACGCCGCCCAGCACCCACTGCAGCGCCAGCAGCAGAACCACGGGGCGCCAGAGGCAGCAGCAGCAGCGGGGGCATGGGTGGCGGCGAGGACAGCAGGCAGGCGGGCTCGAATGGCGGGCAGGTCCGTGAGCGCACCCACGGGGGGCTCTGCCAGCGACTCCACCACCATGGCCTCCGCACACACGTGCGGCGCACGCTCACTCTTCCACGCCCACTGCACCGCAGCCGCCGCCTCCCCCCACCCTCCCTGTGGCGGCACGGGCATCTGCTCCGACCACTCCAGCACGGCCTGGGATACGCCGTTGGGCGGCGCGGCGGGGAGGCAGCGCGGCTGCTCCGCGTGCAGGTGGGCGCGGAAGGCCGGCAGCGAGGGCAGGGCAAGGGCAGCCTGGGCGTGCGGGGAGAGGGCACAGTGGAAGCAGCAGGGGCAGAGGGCGAACTCGCAGGCTTGGCTCACGTCCACGTAGTGCACCATGTCCGCCCGACACAGCAGCGCACGCCCCTCACCGCCCGTCTGCCCTCTCCCTCCCTTGCCCGCCCCTCTGCCTCTTGTGCCCCTGCCAGCCCCTCGTTGACCCCCCACTGGCTCAGCATCGCCTCAACGCTCTCTGCGCTGCCCTCACTCCCCCCTGCTGCCCGCACGCCCGCCTCGATACCTCCTGCACGCCCGCCTGTGCTCCAGCTGATGATCTCAGCACAGGCAAATGCCGCCCACGCCGCCCATGCTGCCCATGCCGCCCATGCCGCCCACGCCGCCCACTCCGCCCATGCTGCCCATGCCGCCCATGCCGCCCATGCCGCCCATGCCCATGCTGCGCATGCCGCCCATGCCGCCCATGCCGCCCACGCCGCCCACTCCGCCCATGCTGCCCATGCCGCCCATGCCGCCCATGCCGCCCATGCCCATGCTGCGCATGCCACCCATGCTGCCCATGTCGCTAGATTGGCGACTAGCGTCCACGCCGCCCGCCGCCCGTGCCGCCCCGCACTGAGAAAGGCGCAGTCCATGGCGCTGGCACTGGGCTGTGCAGCAAAGGGAAGCGCGTTGCCACTGCCAGCAGCAGACGCCTGGGCCCCCTCTCGCGCTCCACCACTCCCTCCTGCAACGCCTTTCGCCTGCTCCCCCTCCTCCTCCTCCTTCTCCACCTCTTCCTCTTCCTGCTGCTGCTGCTCCTCCCCTCCCTGGTCGCTGCTGGAACCAGCATGGCCCCACCTGCTGCAGTCAACTGCACGAGCAGCAGCAGCAGGACGCACGGCAATAGGGGTGGCACGGGCACAAGGAGCACGCGGTGCAGCAGCGGGAGACACGGCTGCAGGGGGTGCAGCAGCAGGTGCGTTGGCCCCCGTGTTCAGCTGCCGCCTGGTGCTTCTCCACTCCTCCCTGCACTGCCCTCACAGGGAGCACGTTCACGATTGTACCCGCTGTAAGCTTCGCCCGCGCCACGGTGCAGTGCGGTGACCCGCCCCGCCACCATGAACCGCACCTGCTGCCTCCCATCCGCCAAGCCCTCTCCCTCCGCCGCCCCCCCATCGCCCGCTCGCTGCTGCTGCGGCGCCTCTCCGTGCAGGCGGTAGTGCGGCAGGTGGCGGCGGAGCAGCCTCTCCAACACGCACGCCACGGGCTCCTCTGGGGCCACGCCCACGCGCACGTCCACGTGGGACGCCGCGCACGGCTGCCCCTCACACCGGCTGTCGCTGGGCCTGCTGCTGCTGCAGCCCTCACCCCCGCCGCCAGCGATGCGCGGCGTGGCAGCGTGGTGCGGCGGGTCGTCCGGCCCGCGCGGAAGGAGAGCCGCTGGCACTCGAAAGCGCACCTCGAACGCCGCCATGCGGCGCGCCGCGCGCAATGCAACAAAGCACTCGAAAGCCCATCGCCGTGTGCAGCGGTGCTGCTGTCGCCTCGCCCGCGCTGACATGCGAGGACGCTGGAGGCGACACACGATGCGCGTGTGCTACTAGTTGCGGCGCGCACTTGCGTGGCGCAACAAAGCAGACACGGAGTTCCCTCCGCCGCACCCCAACCCCAACCCCCGAGAGCCCAAGCGTTGGAGCGCGTTCAAAGCGTCGGACATGCGAGCCCGACACAGGAAAACGTGGAAGCGAGCCCAGTTTCGCGAAGATCTTCTAGGCAGAGAGCTAATTTGCGACTTTGACGACAAGCGTAACCTTGGAAATCGACATTCGCGAAAATTTCTTCTGTTCCATGGCCCCCACTTTGGAATTTTCCAGCCGAGTGTTGGACCACACCTGGAAGGCCGCGCAAAGCTGAATGCAAGGCAAGCCATGCATGCCACGCGACTATCCCACCAGTTGCTCGCCATCCACGTGCGCGCTCTGCTCCTCTGCTCCACGTTCAGACGCCGTGCTGCACCCGCGGGGTTCACGCCCTGCCGTGACTTCAAGCATTGCCCCCGCTCCCTCTCGTTCGCCCTCGGCTCGCGTTAGGGTTGCGTCGCAGTACCTCCGGCTACTACAGCGCGCCCAGCTGGCTCCACTCCACGCGCATCATCTCGTGCCAAACCCCTCCCTTGCGCTCACGCCTCCTCAGGCTGACGCCTCTAAGCGCCGGCCCTCAGCGGCGCCTCGTCGCATCCCGTCGCTGCACTGCCCTCGTCGCCCTCGTCACCTCCAGCTTCGAGGCGCGTGGAGGAGGGGGCGGCGTTGGACGGCGTGGCAAGGCGGATGGTGCCGCACCAGCCCCTGCGCGCCATGCACCCAGCGCCGCCGCACACGAGCGGTGTGGCAAGGCGCAGCAGCAGCAGCGGCGGTGGTGGCAAGGCAGTGAGGGATGAGACGAGGGCGCTTGCGACCACAGGCGACGCGCGGCCGTCGTCAATGGCACCGCACCCGCCACACGCAGCCGCAGCAGCTGCCGCTGCTGCGGCGTTGGCTGGGCCAGCCTTGCCCGCAGGAACGATGGCCGTTCTAGAAAAAGCCCTTAGTGCACGTGCGCCTCACGCTGCTGCTGCTGCCAATGCCGGTGCTGCGAGGCGGTGGATGGGTGAGTCGAGTGCACCGCCTGCCGCCTGGGGACGCGAGGGCGTGTGGATGCAGCAGGTGGCGCAGGGCGAGGGGCGGGTGGCGCCTCAAGTCATGGTCAGGGGCGCGCTGGTGAAGGTGGGCAGCGCGGGGGGCTTCGCCACGCGCTACCTCTCGCAACCTCCCCACAGCGGCGGGAAAGATCAGCTGGGGGCGCTGGGAATACCGGGGGCAGTGGGGCCACCGCGGGCAGTGGGGCCACCGCGGGCAGTGGGGCCACCGGGGACACTGGGGGCATTGGGGGGCATTGGGCAGCGGTGATGGGGGGGAAGCTGGCGGACAGGGGTTAGCAGGGGAAAGCAGTGGGCGAGGGGTAGGGGATGCGGATGCTGGGGCGAGAGACAGGGAGGGGTTCGGGTGGAGGGGAAGTGGAGAGAGGGGCGTTGGGAAGCGCAAGGCGAGGGGGGAAGAGGGGGGAGATGGGGGAGATGGGGGAGATGGGGGAGAGGGGGGAGATGGCATGGTGAATGAGGGGCGAGGGGGGAAGAGGGGCTGTGGTGTGGAGGGAGCAGGGATGGGTGCGAGGTGCGGTGCAGGGCGGGCGATGCCGTGGGCGGAGGGTGGTGGCCGTGCGCCCATGCACGAGGGGAGAGCGGCGGATGCTGCTGCTGCTACTGACCATACGGGGGCAGCCACCGACGGTGGTGATGCTGCTGGCCGCACTGGTGGGTGCGGTAGCATGCCAGGCCACGCGGCAAGAGAGGTGGACATGGCAGGGCAGGGGCAGTTGAGTGAGCGGCATGCGGTGGGGCGAGGGGCGGAGGGAGCGGAGGGGGAGGCGGCGGAGGAGGAGGCGGCGGAGGCGGGTGTGGAGAGCATTCTGGTGCGGCTGCTGAAGAAGCAGCTGCTCTCGCTGGCTGAAGCCATCGCCACTCATGATGATGTGAGACAGCCAAGCCAACATTTCCGCCACGTGTCACCATATCTGCCACATGTCATCATGTCTGCCACATGTCATCATGACTGGCACATGTCATCATGTATGCCACGTGTCATCTTGTCTGCCACGTGTCGTCATGTCTGCCACGTGTCAGCATGTCTGCCACAGGTCACCACATGTGTTGCATGTCACCATGTGCGCTCACATCGGTCGTGACCTTCGTTCTCCAAGTCCCTCCCCACCCTCCACTCCTCCCTTGCTTCTCCTCTCCCCTTTCTGCTCCACTCTTCCCCCCTCTCTCCCGCCCCCCCCCCCCCCAGCTGCGGGCGCGCTTCCTGCTGCAGCACGTGGGGCAGGAGGCGGACCCCCTGGGCTCGCCCATGCAGCGCGCCGCCTTCCACTTCGTGCGCGCACTCTCCGCGCGGGCCACGGGCACAGGCCACGTGCTGCAGGGGGCGACGATGGAGCAGGTAGCATGCTCATGGGCGTGCAGCGGGTGGGTGCGTGCACGTTCTGGGTGTCGTGTCTTACTCTGCCACAGGCGTCTTGGCTGGGCGCCAGCACGGCTGTCTCTCAGCCTCATTGGCTCGCACGCGCTTTTTGTACCTGTCTATGCAGCATGGCATCCCCGGGGCTGCCTGCTGTGCGTGGTCGCCACCACCCGCCATGCCCCTGCGCCAATCCACCGCACCGCTCACTCTTGTGATCGTCTCGCCACCACTCGTGCTCGCGTTCCTTTCACCGTGGCACTCATCTGCCCTCTCCGGACGCCTGCTCCCTCTGCCTGCCCTGCCATCGCTCTTTCCCCTGCGTGCATGTGCATGTGCATGTGCATGCGCATGTGCATGTGCATGCGCGCTGCGCTGTGCAGGAGCTCAGCGGTGCCCTGCCGTGTGTGCTGGGCGCGCCGGCCCTGCGCGACTTCCTCTGCTGTGCTGCCACCCACGCCCTGCACCATGCGCTCCTGCCCGCCCTCTCACGCCACCACTCCAACACACAAGCTGCTGCTGGGACCATGCTGCTGAAGCTTGTGCTGCTGACGCTGCTGCTGGTGACAATGTGGTGGTGGGAGTGGCAAGGAGGGGAGGGCAGTGCAGCATGGAGAGAGACGGCACGGTGGGGCGAGTGGTGTTGCAGGGGGAGCAGGAGTGGCAGGGGAGCACCACAGAGGACAACGACGAGGGGAGGGCGAGGAGTGTAGGAGAGAGTGAGGTAGGGGAGGGCGCAGAGAGGGAGGGGAGCAGTCTTAGGGACGATGGCAGTGTGAGGGGGCGCGGGGGGGAAGAGAGCACCTCATGTGGCAAGGAGAAGGCAGCGGATCCTAAATCTGATTCACGAGTGAAGCACACTGGCGTCCGCCCAGCGCCCCCCCCTGCGTCACCCCCCCCCCTGGTGGTGCATGTGGTGGAGCTGGGCGACCACCACGTGCCGCACTGCCACGCGCTGCTCTCCGCCCTGGCGGCCTGGCCGCTGCAGCGCCACGTGTGCCTGCGCCTCACCCTCGTGCACCTGCTCCACGCCCACCCCTCCGCGCCCTGCGCGCCCCCCTTGCTGCCTTTGCAAGGCGGCAACACCACCGCTGACCCGCCTGCACCTGCCTCCTCCGCGCCACCCACTACACCGGACGCATCTGCCAAGGGCGGTGCTGAGCGGGTGTGCACCGTGGGGTCGCCTGCTCGCCTGCGGCCTGCTGTTGATCCCACTCACGACTTTCGCCCCACCCTCGCTGCTGCTGGCTCTGCTGCTCTGGATGCTGCTCGTGCTGCCATGCCTGGTGGGGCTGGGGATGGTCTGGGGGCAGCACGCGCAGCACTTGGTGATCCGGTTGCTGCTGCGGCTGGTGCGGGCGAGGCTGCAGGAGACGGCGGTGCGGGATGAGTGGGAGCACAGGGGTGGCGGGCAGCAATGGGCATGGCATGGCGGCATCAGGCAGTGAAGGGGCACGTGGGACGACTGCAGCAGTGCAGAGGGCAGCACGGAGACACACCACCCTCACCGCCGTCCCTTCCACCACACGGCTCATCACCACCTCTGCCTTGCACTACCACTGCCACTGCCGCTTCCGCTGCCGCTGCCGCTGCACCAGCACTGTCCTCCCCTCTGCGTGCACCAGAGCATGCTGCTGCATGCCGCACACCCCATTCGCCCTGCCCCCCACCGCTGGCCCCACCCGCGTGCAGCAAGCACACAGTGTGAGCCGCCACTGGGCTCACCCTCGGGTGCCCTGCATGCCTCTGCCCCCACCGTGCCTGCGCCCTCACCCTCCCCCTCCGCCCCCTGCGTCCAGCGCTTTCCGCTCCCTCCGCCGCCTGAGCTGGTAAAGCAAGTGCAAGCAGCAGCGCGCGCCCTGGGGCTGCGCGTGGCGGTGCGCGTGGTGCGCGTGGGCGTGCAGGGGGTGACAAGGGCGGCGCTGGGCGTGCGTGAGGGCGAGGTGGTGCTGGTGCGTGCGGCGCTGCTGCTGCAGCAGCTGTGCGACGCATCCGTCATCCGAGCCAACCCGCGGGACTCGCTGCTGCAGGTGCGCCGCCGCATGCTCACAGGGGCTCAGGAATGATTGGGCAGAGGTGGAGGGGACCGGGTTCACGTTTTTCGATTTCTCCCTTGCGTGTGCATACTTACGCCCATGTCTTGGTGGGGGGCAACTGCTGTACCCGCCTTGCGCTCCCTGGCTGGCGTGTGTGCCTGTGCTGCATGTGCCTCCATGCATGCAGGCCATCCACGCCCTGCGCCCGCTGCTCGTGGTGGTGACGGAGCAGGAGGCGGGCCTCAACTCGCCCTTCTTCCTCACGCGCTTTCAAGCCGCGCTGGACCACTACTCCGCGTGGTTTGACTGCCTGGCCGCGCCCTGCTGCCCGCTGTCTGACGCACAGCGCAGCGCAGTGGAGGCGCGCGTGCTTGGGGCAGATATCGCCAACATCGTGGCATGCGAGGGCATCAACCGCCTCACGCGCCCGAGCCAGCGCACGCCTGGCACGCGCGCGCCACGCGCCTGGGCTTTGAGGTGGTGGCCATGGGGGAGGAGGCGGTGGAAGGCGCTGCAGCGGCCATGGGGGCAAGCCGTGAGGGGTTGAGGGTGGAGGTGAGGCATGGCGTGGCTGTGCTGGAGTGGAAGGGGTGCCCCCTGCTGACGTCGTTCATGCTGCAGCCCAGTGCAGGCACCACCACGGATTCTGTTTGATCTCCCAGAACTACCTCTTGTAACGTACGATGAGAGAATCCGTCCAAGGCATTGTGTTGTGGACAGTCCAACTAAGCAAGCCTTGTAGCCAGCTAATGCACGTACTGCACGAGGCGGTGTTGTTTGGGTGGCCCAGTGCCCATGTGAGTCGCACGCGTTACTGAGGGGTGCTGTGCGGCACGGAATGGGTGGAGGGCGGGAATGCAACAACGGGCAGGGGTGCTCCGACGTACAGCGAGCTGATGCCACGAATGCGCAACGCAATCCCCTTGCCATCTTCAGCAACCCTTTCCCCACCCACCCACCTGCAGAGGAGCCTTGTCTGGTCCCCTCGTCACTCCAGTCCCTGACACAACCCCCCACTCCCCCCTCTTCGCTCCACCCCTCCAGCCCAGGTGGGCCAGTGCGCTGCAGTGCGTTCAGGCCGTATGAGTGTGCGCTGGGCGCCAGCAATGCGCCTCTGCGGCTTCCAGCAGGCGTCTTGAATCTCGCAGCGTGGTCGGGAGGGATGCACTGCTAGTGCTCCTGCCAATGGGCTTGAGGCCAATAGGTGTCGACGCCATGGCAGACGATGCTGAGTTGATCATACTGTCTTTACAACGGATCAAGATGCAGTGGTTTCCATCATCACATCATGCTCCCCATTGCTTCAGTAATGATCCACTGAACGGGTCTACTGAGCACATTACTGCCGCCTTCTCACCAACGCACAGTCCCTTCCCTAGCAGGCGCGTGTCACCCGCCATACTCCCACGACACCTCCGTGACCCCAGCCTCCAGCGCCAGCGCGCAGTGCAGCCCCTCCACGCCCAGGTAGTTGCCCCCCGCGCACGCCACGCCCACCTGCTCGCGCGTGCCGCGCCGCACGGTGGGGTGCCCCAGGCGCTCGCCGTGCATGAAGCGCAGCGACAGCTCCACCCGCTCCTGCGCCCTCAGCTGCAGCACCAGGCGGTGGCGGCGGTGCGCCTGCGCCACGGGGCGGGCGGAGAGCGCCGCTTGGAAGGGCGCCAACAGCGACGCCAGGGACGACGAGGGGACGGCACGCCCGGCCACACCTGCAGGATGCACACGCTGTGCAGGGGGGTGGGGGGGGGGTGGGGGGGGTGGGTGGGGGAGAAGGAGGGTTGGGGATGTGAGGGGAAGTGGGACATGGTGCGCAACAGCAAGAGCGAGAAAATGCAAAACGAGGATGATATGGTTGGTTGATGGTCCAGTGCGCTTGTGTGAGAATGGCTTCTTCACTGTAAGCGAGGTTGCAAAGGCAACACACACCTGCCCACTGCACCATGCGCACCTGCCAACGGTCTTGACATCGGGGTGCAGCGTGGCTGAGGGCGGCAGCAGCGTGTCCACGTCCTCCTCGATGCTCTCGATGAGCGCCCCCGCGCGCACGTACAGCGCAGTCTCGTGCAGCGGCACCGCCACCTCCACCGCCTGCCCGCCCTCCAGGGGCGCGGCGTTGGCGGCCCAGAAGTGTACCCACGCGCTGCCCTGCGGCAGGTACACGTGGCCTTGCTCACTCCACTCTCGTACACCGGCGCCACCAGCAGGTCCGGGCCGAACCTGTACTGCCACTCCCACTGCGAGGCGGCGGCCTGGGCGTCCCCCTGGAAGCAGAGCGCCATGGCGCACACAATGGGCTCCCCCGCCGTGGCGCTGCGCAGCGCCGCCGCCTTGAGGTACGGGAAGAGCGCCATGTGCAGGCGCGCGAAGCGGCGGTAGATGCGCAGCGTGAGCGCGTCGTAGTCCCACGGGCCACTGTTGGCCTGCCCGAACTGGTGCATCAGCGGGGAGAGCGCGCTGGGGAAGCGGGGGGGGGGGGGGGGGGGGCAAAAGGGGAAGGACACAAACTGTTCAACTGGTGCATGAGGGGGGGTCAGCACGCTGGGGTGGGGTGGGGGGGAGGACATGGAGAGGCAAGGACTCGTTGGCCTGCCCGCCTGGTGCATCAACGGGGAGAGCGCGCTGTGGGGGGGGGGGGGGGGGGGGAGGGGTGGCAAAGGGGAAGGACAAAAACTGTTCGAACTGGTGCATGAGGGGGGGGCAGCGCACTGGGGGGGGGGGGGGGTGGGGTAGTGGAGAGGATACAGACTGTTTAAAAGGATGCACCAGGGGGGGCAGCGCGCTGGGGGAAGCCGGGGGGGGGGGGGGGGGGGCAGTGGAGAGACATGGAGAGACATGGGCTTGGTGGCCTGCCCGCCTGGTGCATCAGGGGGGACAGCGCTCTGGGGGCGGGGAAGCATGTGGAGGGGGAGGGTACGAACTGTTTAAAGGGGGGAGAGCCCGCTGGAGGGGGGAGTGAGAGGCATGGAGAGACAAGAACTTGCTGGTCTGCCAAGACTGGTGCACCTGGGGGGACAGCGCGCTGGTGGGGGAAGAGAGATGTTGGTACTATTGTTGAGCGCGTTGGTGCCTGTGTTTGCGCATTGGTGCCTGTGCTTGCGCATTGGTGCTGTGCTTGCGCATTGGTGCCTGTGTTTGCGCATTGGTGCCTGTGTTTGCGCATTGGTGCCTGTGTTTGCGCATTGGTGCCTGTGTTGCGCATTGGTGCCTGTGTTTGCGCATTGGTGCCTGTGTTTGCGGCATTGGTGCCTGTGTTTGCGCATTGGTGCCTGTGTTTGCGCATTGGTGCTGTGGCATTGGTGCTTGCGCATTTGGTGTGGTGCCTGTGTTTGCGCATTGGCCCTTGAAGCAGGCCGAAGACCATAAGCTGTTCAGCTCACCCAAACTGCGCCCAGCGCACAAAGAGCTCCTTGTCGATGGAGTGGCCGAAGTACCCCGCGATGTCGCTGCCCCACAGGAAGAACCCGACAGCGCCGCTGTCTGCCCCGCCATGATCACCGACGGGAAGCCCTCTGTGCGATTCCAGTTGGCGCGCTGGTCGCCCGCCCACACAAACGACCTGCACGGCGGAAAGGTGGAAGGTGTGGGGGGGGTGTGGGGGGAAGAGGAATTTGGAGGACATGCATGGCAGCGATGGAGGGCGAAGCGGACAGGGCAAGGCGAAGCGTGAGTGCCGTACAGTTGGTGGAGCGTGAGTGACGTACAGTTGGTGGAGCGTGAGTGACGTACAGTTGGTGGTAGCGCGACTCACTTGCCCGTGCCTGTGAAGCCGCTCCTGGCCATGAGCACGCCATCCCCGTCCAGGTACTTGTCAATGAACGACCCCATGGCGCCCAGATACTTCTCCACGTACTGCCATGCCGCATGCATGGGTGGTACACACATGCAGACATAGGGTCATGCACCCATGGCGAGTGGAACGGACAGAGAGGATCCCTAGCGCTTAAAAAGGGCGTGGCTGGCAGCACCATGGCTGGCAGCACCATGGCTGGCAGCACCATGGCTGGCAGCACCATGGCTGGCAGCACCATGGCTGGCAGCACCATGGCTGGCAGCACCATGGCTGACAGCACCATGGCTGGCAGCACCATGGCTGACAGCACCATGGCTGGCAGCACCATGGCTGACAGCACCATGGCTGGCAGCACCATGGCTGGCAGGACCATGGCTGACAGCACCATGGCTGACAGCACCATGGCTGACAGCACCATGGCGCGCAGCGCAGGAGGGGAAGCGGACGCGTACCGAGCAGCGCAGACGGGTACAGAGGCGGGTAGCGCATGGATAGTCCAGGGATGTCGATGGCACACGTGCAGGGTGATACAGCATGCATGGGTGAGAGCACACAGCACTGCACAGACGTAACAACATGCACGGGTGAGAGCACATAGCACTGCCCAAACGTAACAAGATGCACGGGTGAGAGCACACAGCACTGCACAGACGCAACAGCATGCACGGGTGAGAGCACACAGCACTGCACAGACGTAACAAGATGCACGGGGAGAGCACACAGCACTGCACAGACGTAACAAGATGCACGGGTGAGAGCACACAGCACTGCACAGACGTAACAACATGCACGGGTGAGAGCACACAGCACTGCACAGACGTAACAACATGCACGGGTGAGAGCAGAGAGCAGGTGCATGCGGGGGTGGGGGCTCTGACCCGGGTCTTCATGAGTGAGAGTGGTGAGCCATCGTGGAACGCAGCGCCGGGCAGGAAGTAGTTGCCCTCGCCGTCGTCGCACTTAAACCCACGCGCAGTGGGCCACTGCCGCGTCGTGTTCATGGCGCCGTGCCAGAACGCCACCGCCGCCTCGCTTGTGAAGTCCACGCGCCCGCCCTCGCCCTTCCACCACTTCACTATCTGAAGGGGGTTGGGGGGGGGAACCGGGCGCAGCAACCTGAGAAGAGTGCATGGCACAGGAAGCGCAGGCGGAAGCAGTGAGGGGAGCAGCCTTCACCCCACCACCTGCGAACCCCCCCCCCCTTTCCCCTCACCTGAGAGCCTCCCCCCTCCTGCTGCACTAGGAAGCCGCGCTCGTCCGCCTCTTGAAAGATGGCAGCCGGGCCCGCCGTGATGCCCTGCATGTCTACGCGGTTGGCGCGGTTGATGAAGGGCGTCGCCCAGAAGATGTTGTGGAAGCTGGGGGCGGGGAGAGGAGTGGGGGGAAGGTGGTGGGGAGGAAGGGAGCAGGCGAGAGTGAGGATGGTAGGGGGGGGCAGTGCCACCCAAAACGCTCTGGAATGAAAGAGGTGAGCGAGGTGCTGCTGAGGAAGTCAGAGATGTCAGTGCCGTGTTGAGCAGCCATGCACGGCAGGCAGTGCGGCGGCCTCACCCAGCTCCTGGAGGCGCAGGAACATGTCCTCGGGGTCGTCAAACTGCAGGCGGTTGATGGTGAAGTCGTTGTACGCCGTCTCCCACGGGCTGTCTATCAGCATCACCGACCCCGGGATGCCCTGCTGCCGCAGCTTCTCCGCATCTTCCACCACCTGTCATCGGTGCAAGGCACACACAGGCAGGCGGAAAAGGCAGTGCAGGCTCAGTTCAGGGTGTCATTGGCTGATTTCAGGGTGTCATTGGCTGGTTGGCTGTGCGGGGAAGGCACATGCTCAACAGTGCAGCTCATGCCATCCCCAGACGGCCCTCCATTGGAGCAGCGGAGCAGCGCTGCAAGGACACTCCGGCAATCACGGGCACATGCTCACACGCTCACATCAACACATTTCAGAGCTGCTTAACCCACACGCCCAGCCACAGCGTGAAGCACCTGCGAGCAGTTGAAGTGCACGTCGCGCCCCTTCCAGGGCGCAAAGGCCCAATCGGGCGGCAGGGAGGGGCGGCCTGAGAGGCGTGTGAACTCGGAGAGCACGGCGAGCAGCGAGGGGCCCGATATGATCACCACCCGCAGCTGCTGCTCGCGGTAACGGATGGCCTGTGGGGGGGAAGGGAGAGGGGAGTGGGCAGGGAGTGCGGGGTAGTAGAGATGAAGGGGGTAGAGTAGAGATGAAGGGGGTAGAGTAGCGATGGGGGCGTGGGTGTGTAACGGTGCTTTGCCCAGCTCATATGCATGCAGCACGTGCCATCCACATATCACTGGCACGCATGGTCATTGGGAAGTCAGCACACACCAACCAGCATGCACCCGAGCGTATCAATGCATGCACCATGCACGCGCATACCAGCACGTTCCGCTCGTGACTTGTCTTTGCGGGCAAGGCTGAAGGAGCTGACAAGTGCAGGCGCACGCATGAAGCCAAGCAGCGCACAGTGGCGTACCGGCACATCCGGCTCGTCGTGGGTGGCGTACCCAGCACATCCGGCTCGTCGTGGGTGGCGTACCAGCACATCCGGCTCTCGTGGGTGGCGTACCGCACATCCGGCTCGTCGTGGGTGGCGTACCAGCACATCCGGCTCGTCGTGGGTGGCGTACCAGCACATCCGGCTCGTCGTGGGTGGCGTACCAGCACATCCGGCTCGTCGTGGGTGGCGTACCAGCACATCCGGCTCGTCGTGGGTGGCGTACCAGCACATCCGGCTCGTCGTGGGTGGCGTACCAGCACATCCGGCTCGTGTGGTGGCGTACCAGCACATCCGGCTCGTCGTGGGTGGCGTACCAGCACATCCGGCTCGTCGTGGGTGGCGTACCAGCACATCCGGCTCGTCGTGGGTGGCGTACCAGCACATCCGGCTCGTCGTGGGTGGCGTACCAGCACATCCGGCTCGTCGTGGGTGGCGTACCAGCACATCCGGCTCGTCGTGGGTGGCGTACCAGCACATCCGGCTCGTCGTGGGTGGCGTACCAGCACATCCGGCTCGTCGTGGGTGGCGTACCAGCACATCCGGCTCGTCGTGGGTGGCGTACCAGCACATCCGGCTCGTCGTGGGTGGCGTACCAGCACATCCGGCTCGTCGTGGGTGGCGTACCAGCACATCCGGCTCGTCGTGGGTGGCGTACCAGCACATCCGGCTCGTCGTGGGTGGCGTACCAGCACATCCGGCTCGTCGTGGGTGGCGTACCAGCACATCCGGCTCGTCGTGGGTGGCGTACCAGCACATCCGGCTCGTCGTGGGTGGCGTACCAGCACATCCGGCTCGTCGTGGGTGGCGTACCAGCACATCCGGCTCGTCGTGGGTGGCGTACCAGCACATCCGGCTCGTCGTGGTGGGCGTACCAGCACATCCGGCTCGTCGTGGGTGGCGTACCAGCACATCCGGCTCGTCGTGGGTGGCGTACCAGCACATCCGGCTCGTCGTGGGTGGCGTACCAGCACATCCGGCTCGTC